ATAATCCACAATCTCGGTTGGCTACTATCCTTCCTCTGTCGAACTCGGATACTTGATCAAAAGCTGATCGCTGTTTTCTACGAGACATAACTGATCGTTTTTTGAAAAAACCAAAAGAAAAACACAATTGCCCAACTTGAAATCGTCGAAATCTCCAAGCCTTAAATAGCGCTTTGAGGTGGCACTGCAGGCGCGCGTGATGTGTGTCTGCGCTGAAATTCTAATCATTTGCATATCTCATATCCGCTAATGCATGTTGTAAATTTCATGTTATTTACATGTTTCCTTCTGGGTGTTGCATTTACGGTGTTCAGCTGTGTAGTTTTGCGGCCCGTTTTTATTATTTCTTATTTTGAAAAGAATAAGTGTTCACTCAGTAGTAAGATTTCAAAATTATTACTATGATCAAGGAAAAACCTGAAATCAGAGATATTAGCACATTCAAAGAGCAATAATTCACACTAATATTGAAAAACGATTCCGGATCTGAAACTATCTCACTTGATAACTCATCAAAAGACTGTTTTCTTTTATTTCTGAAAGCACGATATTACGTCCCAGTCATTTATAAGATCTCCGGACTGTCTTAGCAAACAGCTGAATGAATTTTGATTTCGTTTTAGTGCCAGTCTTCTCAGAAGATTATTTAACAGAACACCAGCTTTTATAGGTCATTTTTTCAATCTCTAAGGTTATAGAAAGAGTGTCAATGATCTCATATAACCAAGAGCAAAATGGTCACAAGCTTTTTATCAAATCATACCTCTTTAACATAAAAATTACTAGTAGTAACCCGCCCGCTTCGCTGGCTTCTGATGTAGTATGAATATATAATATTTACATATAAATTGATATATCTATGTCCTAGCACTAAGCGTTCGATTGTACTGGAAAACATTCTTATAACTCTCATCTCTTGCTTATAAAGGACAGGAATTCTGAATAATAATTTCTAATATTGAAGTAGAATTATCTTTTAAGCTCTCGTAATTCCTTTCCTCGTAGATTTCCGCAAAACCCGTGTTTAATGTATCTCTACTCAATAAAATAAATATGCTTGCCAAATTTCAAGTATAAATCTAATTGTTAAAAGACGGAATTTATTTTAATCAATAAACCTCATACCCCCCCCCCTTTATTATTTTTTTTATTGAAAACCATTATAAAATCCCCGTACACTACAAAGTATCACCCGGGGCTTACAAAAGTAAGTATAAACACGTATTATAAAGTAAAGGAAAAAAATTAATGTCATGAAAGATTACAAATATTTACAATAAATTTACAGAACTTTTCAAAAGCACTTCTGATAGAAATAAGTTGGTAAAGATTCGCGGAGACCAATTTATATTAAGTCTCTTGAAAACCTGCCTTAGAATGTTTCGTTCCCTTTCAAACTTGAAACACGGAAGGAGCACATGTTTTACATTTTCCTCGCCACCAATATCACAATCACAAGAAGATGACGGAACGAAATCAAAAATTTGTTCAAGCAGTTTTTACTGTTGCTATGACCAGTTAGAAATCGGGTTATTTTGTAATTAGTACAAAAATGATGGCAGGCCAGTCTCTCATTAATGGTTGGAAAAAATTTCTTGAGCTCCCTTTATTTGAAATGAGAAATTCTTGGTTCCAAGACTTCACCATTCTTTCTTTCATAATCTTGTAAAATGATTTAGGAATATCAACGGTAATGTTAATTTTGTGCTTGGTTGTGCGCAGCATTTGCAAGCCAATAGACCCGCTCATTTCCAAGAACGCCCGTGAGTCCGCCAACAAATACAAAACCTATTGAGATGTTTTTATCTTTTAGGCTTTTAAGTTGCTTTTGGAACTCGACGATTATGTTGTTAGATGAACAAATACACTTAAGAGAATCCAAGGAGAAAAGACAGTCTGTACATATGAAATAGTCTGAGACCCTTTTGAAAGTCGATTTCGGCAAGATCTCTTCTTAGCGGATTTTAATTAAAAACAGCAAAAAGAAAGAAAAAACCTTGTGTGCCGAATTTTATTACTGTAGGTTTGGTAGTTCGAAAAAGGGAAATTTTTTTTTATCAATACACTCCAGTAACTACCCTCTTCCCCATAGGAGTATGTTTCCAAATAATCCGTTCTTAGTACATCTCTTTTCTACTAAAGAACCATGCTTATAAAATTTCAAGTATGTGGGTCTATAACAATTCAAAAAGAGAGGAATTCTTATCCATAACGCCCCTTAGCCCCTCACAGTTCTCTTTAGGGTCAATTTTCGCCAAACCAATTCTTAGTTGAACTCTACTCCATGAAAGAAATGTACGTACTAACTTTCCAGTCTGTAGGTCTAATAGTCCCAAAACGGGAATATTTACCTTTAACATTCTTTAATCCCTCGCAACTCCCCTTGGAGGTCGATTTTCACAAAACTTCTTTTGTAACGGATCTCTACTGCATGATAATATTCCAACCAGATTTCAAGCCTGTAGATCTAATAGTTTGAAAAGGAGAATTTTTTTCGGTAAGCCGTTTCAAAATTCATTCGCAAAAAACATTAAGTTTCGAATTTTGTCAAACCCGTTTTGTAACGAATCTCTATTCTATGAAAGAAACGTGTCTGCTGAATTCCAAGTTTGTAGGTGTAATACTTCAAAAACGGAGATATTTATCTATGACGCCTGTTAAGCCCTCTCAAACCCCACCCCCTTGATATCATTTTTGCAAAATCCTTTCTTAGAGGAACTCTACTCCATGAAAGGAAAATTCCTGCTAAATTTCAAGTTTGTAGTTCTAATAATTCAAAAACGGGAATAATTATCTATAAAGACCCTTTAAACCTTCACAATCCCCCTTGAGAAACTATCTTTGTAAAACTTCTTCTGTAGTGGATCTCTCTTTTAACGGATATCTATACTCCATAAAAGGAAAACTCCTTCTAAATTTCAAGTCTGTAGGTCTAAAGCCACATTTACACCAAGGCACTCAGCGTCGAGCCAATCAGAGACTTCATCTCGCCCGAGATGAAGTCTTTGATTGGCTAAATGCTCAACGCTCGACGCTGTTTGATTTGGTGTGAATGCGGCTTAATAGTTCCGGAGATATCGTGATGAGTCGCTTGTGTATAGAAATCTTGATATTCGTCACGTTCATCTCTCTTAGTTAAAATTAAGTTTACAAAATGCTTTACGCTATTATTAATTTTTTCGAATTGTGAATAAGGCGTTATTTCATGGTGACCGTCCATTTTGTACAAATCTAGCAATTTTTAAAACATTGATCAAAATGTGGATTAAAACTTAAAATTAACAAATAATATGAATAATTGTTTAGGTGCCACCCAGCCAGTATGGTGGCTATGACCCTCGGCTTGTAACCGAGTGGGCTTGGGTTCGAATACCAAATAAGGCGTGGATGTATTTTCTTCAGGAAAAGAAGTCGGACTTTCACCTGTAATGGATTCCCATCTCGAATGGAAAGTAGAGCACCCCATCTGTTATATGCTGTGTTCATCATTTGTAATAAATGTCAATATTCTTCTGTTTGTATTGTATATTTATGTTCTTGTATTTCATATGTACCCCAGGATATAAAAAAAACTGTATAGTTTGGTATTTTTTAAAATTGTAAATGAAGAACTTGTAAAACTATAAGAGACAAAAAAGTTTCTATGATTTAAAAATTTAAAATCGTAATATATTTCTGAGGGCAGTTCAACTTCTCGAAAACCTTTATATCGAAAATAGCGATTTCTTCTTGTCTCATGCAATATTAACAAATCCGTTTTATATGGGTATCGATGAACAATGTAATATTATTTCAAAAATAGTTCATTTATTATCCTATGTGATGAAGAAATACGTATGCGTTCCTCGTTTTTTATCTTAACTATTTACTAAAACTTATATAAATTTAAGAATCATGATAAATGTATGTAACTTTTAAACTACGTTCTTAATTTCATAATATGTATTTGACTAAAAAGAAAGCGGGATGTTTAACTCCTTTTTTACTGTACAAATATATTATTTATTTCGTATTGTTTTATATAGTGTTTAATGTAACATCTCAACCGTATAAAAATAAAGTTGGATGTAATATGAACTATATAATATAGTACAAAAAAATGAAAAAGAAAAAAAAATCTTACCTTTACAAAATCTTAATAAGTCAAGCTTGTTGACTGTAAAAAGAGAAGCAATTTTTAGGAATTTATTTAATATATTTCACGTTTCTTCACATCACAGGGATATGGATCTGCAATAGATCCTCTTGTAATATATTTTTCTTAATTTAACGTTTAAAAGCACCAATACGGTAGGTGATCAGTTCAGTTCTGTACAGTGATAACAATGCAAATCTGGAAACTTGGCTGGCCACGGTAGTCGAGTGGTACAGGTATCGGATCGTGGCTTGCCTTGTCACGAGTTCGAGCCCAGTACCACTAAAGACCCGCCGTGTAGGGCAGCGATGCACGTTAAATATGTCGAGACCTGAAACGTCCTCCAGTTGTTGTGGAGGGGGGTCGGTAGTTAGGAGAGTGGGTGCCAGTTCAGGTGTCATCCACGTCACTTAAACATGGTTCAAAATTACGTGGTCCGTCGCCAAAAGCCCTGGTGTATCTCAACAGTGCGACGTTAATATTCAATCAATCAATCTGGAAACTTGGCCAACGTCTTATGTTCCGGTAGAATTTGAATTAGTTTCTTAAAATAGGTTACAGCGTACAACTAGTGATTGCACTGTACATCTGTAGACTTGGTTATCGCCTTGTGTGCTTCAACAGAAATTGATGAAAATAGAGTATTTAGAATCTATTAGCTGGTATTTTAGAATCTATTAGTTAATGTTAAAAATTCTACTTTTTGAACATGCTCTATTGTTTTACAATTCGCTATTGAGGAATCCGACCATTCTCCGTGGTTGGAGATAAAATTTTTCAAAATATCACGCTGCGATTTGTATTTGTTACAGGTTAAAATAAAATGTTCACTAGTTTCTGGAACTTGACAATACGAACACAATGGAGAATCTGCTTGTTAATAAAGAAAAAAAAATATTATTTAATGGTGTAGTTTTTTTTCTCGCAACTTATTAATTAAAGCTTCTGAATTTCTATTTTTCGCTGCCTGTCTATTCCACTTTTCAAGATGAGAAATATAATTAAATTTTTTTTATGTCTTTGCTCTTTTTCCTTGCTTCTTCATTTTTACTTTTATGTTGTTTTTTGAAATATGTATGTAGATCTTCTAAAGAAATCCATGGAATAATATTCCAAGGTTCTGGAGAGGCTTTAGCTAATTTATCAACTTCTTCATTGATCCCTATTCCCTTGTGAGCTGGTAACCAAATGAATGTAATAGATTGAACTATTTGGAGACACTCTTGTAAAGTTGAAATTAAATTTAAAATTATCGTATTGGATTTTCTATTAATATTTTGGATACTTTTTAAAACTGATAAACTGTTCGTCAGGATAACATAGTTTTCTGCTTCAGTAAACCAATTTTGTAATGCAGTCCATATGGCTATAGCTTCAGCTGTGAAAATTGAAATAATTTCTTTCAGTAAGAAACTCTGTCGAACTTTTTTCTTGGGGATCAAAATTCCTATTGATGTTTGATTAGTATTTTTTGAACCATCTATTGTTATTATGATGCTGTTATTAAAATTTGTCTGGATTTAATCAATAAACATATTTTTTGCACTATGACATCTGGAAGATCCCTGTTTTGAAAAGGCAGTTCATGAGTATAGATGTTTATTTTGTGATTTTTTCGTAAATCGGCGGAGGAGGGATCCACTGAAGAATATCCACTTTAGAGATACATAGCTCTTGGAGCAGGTTGATTGTCTTTTGAAAAACACTGATCTCTTTTTCTCTCCATATATAAAAAAATATCATTTATATCCCAAAATAAACTTGCATTCGGTGACCAGTCTTTTAATGCTAGTTGTTTAGTTATAAATTTTTGGCAAAGAAAATTATGACGATTATTAATACTGCTATTCATAGACTCTGCTCTTAATAAATCTCTCGGGGTGTTTCTTGGGAGACGTAGGACTAATCGTAAGTCAGCATTGTAAATCGGTTCTAGTTTCTGTTTGCTGCTACTGCTAGAAAAGGAAAAAAGTTGACTTCCACAGTCAAAGATAGATCGGATTGTGGTATTAATAATATTTTAAAGATGATCAGATCTTGTTCCTATTTTAGGAGAAGATAAGGCTTTAATGGCATTTAAATATTTAAATCCTTTCTGTCGTACGTAATTAATAGGATTTTTCCAAGTGATATTGGGGTCGAAGTTTATACCCAGGATTTTAAGACTCTTCACTTCGGGAATAGGTTTGTCGCATATTTTAAGTAAAGGAGGTATTGTGCTTCTTTTTCTAGAAAAGTTAATTAGATTGCTTTTTTCTGAAGAGGTGGAAAATTTCCACTTTTTAAACCAAACTGAAATATTATTTAAAGGTTCTTGCATTTCGCCTATTGTTTTATTCCAATTTGTTCCTCTATTACACTGGTGTGCAACAGGTGGGTTTATTGCAATAACTTCAAGAAAAATCATCTGAGAGACATGAAATTCTGAAATGAGGGAGAGTATTACGTACGTAAAGGATGACGAAAGCATCGGCGCTGAAAAAGAAATACAACGCATACGGTATGGAATCAAACAAAAACAAGCTTTATTGAACGCATAGTATTGTGACTCATGATTGTCGATCCAACAGGAAGAACAACAAGCAGATGTTCCTTAATATGGTATATGCCCTCCCCTTACTACAATGGTTGCTTCGCACCGTCTCCGCATACTCAGAACCACCTGGTGCAACATTTCTTGAGGTAGGAGTGCCCATTCCTCAATCAACATCTGTTTGAGTTGTTGGTTGTTCTCCGGATGATGTAAGCGTGTGGCAATACGTCTCCCCAAAGTATCCCACACATGTTCGATGGGATTTAAATCTGGGGAGCACGCTGTCCAATCCATTCGAGTGATATCTTCCCTTTCCAGCAGCTCCTCAACAGCAAGAGTGCGATGTGGCCGCGCATTGTCATCCATAAAAATGAAGTCTGGGCCAATGGCACCTCGGAAAAGACGCACATGGGGAAGAAGTACCTCCTCACAATAGCGATCCCCGGTTACAGACCCTCTGTCGAAAATGTGACGCTCAGTTCGCCCGTTCAGCATAATGCCTTCCCAGACAAGAACTCCAGGACCACCGTAACGGTGTCTTTCCTTGATGTTACTGGGATAAAACCGGGTCCCGATCTCTCTCCAAATCAAAACGCGTTGAGAATCGCTTCTGGTACTGAACCGACTCTCATCCGTAAAGAGG